CTAAATGACCGAAACGATTTTAGTGATAATTTTTAGTGGCGCTGGAGCCGAGTTATTGCTAAAAATCGTCGATTCGGAAACACCAGGGATCAAAGTCAAATTACTCCCGTTAAATCAACCATCAGAACCATTGCGGTCCTTGCTTCACGGCGACTAAACAGAATGTGGACAATGATACTCACCAGTTTGGAAATTGCCACCAACCAATTGCTGGCGAAAACGTTGGATCAAATGTTTCAATAAAAAAATTAATTTTGGGCGGGACGAAGTTCGCCGGGCCTGCTAGTATATATGTACATATAAAAATAATGTGTTCGTATGTCACGGTCGTCAAAACTCGAGAACGGCTGAACCGATTTGAACAATTTTTTTTTGTATTGTTCGGTACAATACCAGAACCAATGACATCGCAAAAAATTAGAGGGTTGCCACCTATTTGAAAATTTTTAAACCCAATTGTATTGATAAAATAAATAAATTATTACAATATGGGTATCAAATTAAAGGGGTTTAAAAAAGATAACTGCTGGAAATGTTTTTGACGAGGGTCGCCACCTATTTGAATATTTTAACTCAGTCAAATTGATAAAATAACTGAAATATCGCCATGCGGGTGTCAAACTAAAGAGTTTTAAGAAGGTTTATAGCCGTAAATATGCTTGGGGAGGGTTGCCACCTCTTTTAAAATTTAACTAAGTACATCGATAAAATAAATGAAATATTACAATATGGGTATCAAATTAAAGAGGTTTAAGAAAGATAACTGTTGAAAATATTTTTGAGAGGGTTGCCACCAATTTTAAAATTTTAACTCAGTTAAATTGACAAAGTAAATGATATATTGCTATGTGGGTTTCAAACTAAAGAGTTTTAAGATGTCTTACAGCCGAAAATGTTTTAAAGGAGGGTTGCCACCTGTTAAAAAATTGAGCGCAATTTAATTGATAAACTAAATGATATATTACAATATAGATATTAAATTTAAGAGGTTTAAGAAAGATAACTGCTGGAAATATTTTTGAAAAAAA